ATCCCATATTTATTTTAAATCTGATTCCATTTTGGATTATATTTATGTAAAATTTGATTTCAGTGATTCCTATTATTAATTAAAGAATTTGTAAAAATCTAGAAATAAATAATACTGCATATGTGTTTTATTTATAAAAATTGTTAATATTAATTGTTAAATTTTTATTAATTTTATTTAATTATAAAATTACGTTCTACAATTAAAACAAACTTTGTTAAAATTAGTGTCGATACAAACACATTTAAATTAGTGTTGATTATTATTATTGTTAGTATAATTATCGCATCTATTTCTCATTGCAGACGCAAGAGCAAGCCTCATGAAAAATATTTAAGTGGTAGTTAAGTTTTTTCACAATCTACTTTGCAATTTAGAGTTGCAAATAAGTTGATACGATGACATCAAATATAAAATTTATTCTGTTTGCGTTTATAATTATTATGACATTCTCAGAAGGAAAATCACAATCTTGGCAGAACTTTCTGCTTCAAAACGATTTTATAAATTTTCTGTTTCCTAAAGAACCTGGTTTAGTGAGAGTAAGAAGAATGGATCGAACCAAAAGAATAGACAACGCAAAAATATTGGATTTCGTGTGTAAAAATTGTTTTTAATTATATTAAATGCATCTTTCTTATATTAAGTTCATTTTGTTCTTGTATTATAACTCTGATAAATATATTAGAGTAACTCCGGCAAATACGCCGCGCTGGGATTTACATCGTGGAAGTAAAGAAAAAATAGAACGAATAGGGATAATTTTCTCGCAACTACTCTACTGTTATATGTTATATTAGTATTGTGTTATTATATATTAATTTCAGTTTCTCTTAATATTATTAATATTAATGAAATTATTGTGAGTTGAATCGATTTGTCACTGTAATAATAAATTACAATCTATAATGCCATTATAAATTACAATCTACATAAAATGATTTTTGTAGTGCGCGTAAAAGACTTACTGGTTATTTTGTGATACATAAATGTAGAGGAATAGTAAAAAAAAAAAAAAATTGTATAGTGCTTTGCTCTTGTATTCTTTGTTTGTATTCTTTGTTGTCTCGTATATCCCACCTGTTTAAAATATACGGCATGTTTATCGGGCGGGATTTATGCCCAAAGCATACAAAATGCGCAGATTGTATTCAGTGCACGAAATGTAATAATTACATGAAATATGCATTACATGAAATATACTTCATGTCATAACACTTGTATAAGAAGATTGTTATTATTATCTATTACTTTATATACATATTTATATATTTTCTTATTCCTTAATAAAACTTTGTAAACATATTTTATAAGTTATTGTGTCATTTTACGTCTTATTTATAAGCATTATTTGTAAATTTTTCATGAGCCGTAAATATCTCCCCCCCCCCCCCTATAAGTAGCCACATATTGATCATACTTATGGGATATACGGCAAAAATGCAAGGATTTCAAAAAATTCTTTTTTTAATACGAAAAATAACTATTTCGGATTTCTAATATTTTTTTCATAATAATAGATAGTACAAAGATTTTACTGATATTTCATTTATCTTAAAAATAGTACTTAATAAATTAAGTTTTTGTAGGTGCGGCGTATATCGGAATTATTCTATATATATTAAATTATCTATATATATTAAATTATATATACATAACTTGACTATTTTGAATTATCATTATTAAACTAACAATCTCTGAATATTGTATAAATTTTTTGACATTTAAAACAAATCATAGAAATGAAATGACGATATCCCATAGATGTTACATATTATTCTTTTACGTAGGTTGGCATAGTAGAACAATATGATTATCCCGCTGAAGAGCATAATGTCACAACAGAGGATGGTTATATTTTGCTAATACACAGGATACCTGGAAGTCCATTATTGGATAACAATAAGGGAAAAAAGGAAATTGTTTTTATCCAACACGGTATTTTGGCTTCATCTGATAGCTGGATATTACGCGGACCTGGTAAAGATCTTGGTATGTATTTATTATTATATATATCGTATCATAACATATTCAAAACACTGTGTGTTTTAAAATTATATCAGCATTTTTGTGAAAAAGATTTTACTTTCAAAACTTGAAATTATTAATACTTTGTTTTTATATAAATGCGTTCTTACATTAAAAAAAAGAAATTATTTTGTTTAATACAAAAATGCCAAAATGATAGTATTCAGTAGATTATTTTAATATATAAGCACATTCGCAAGCTGTATACTGTGTACCTTTAAAATAAGGGAAGTTTTTCACATATAAGTAAGATTTCAAAGAGGTGCAAAGAGATACTGACACTTTAATTATCTTATAATTTAAATGCCACACGTCAAAAAAATCATGCAAATATCGCAGAGTTAATTGGATCCCAGCGTGAAAAAGTGTATACTATTCGTAAAATTTTCAATATTTTGCTTTGAAAATTTGGATACCTTAAAGCTTCTAAAATAAGATGTAATTGTAGCTGATGAAATTTTATATAATATAAATATACTAAAAAAAATTTAGTTAAAATTTAAAAAGCATACTCTTTTTAAACAAATAAATCCTATTTTTTTTTAGTAAATATATAGTTTAGGGGAGCTCCCCCCCACTCCCTCCAATGACTTTGATCTTGTCATGTGACATATTGTCAAATTCATGAATGACCATGAGAAAGTTTTAAATAAAACGCGTCGAACATCACTCGACGTTAAAAAATTATAAATAAATAAATTTAAGAAATAACATCACATTTCTGTTATATAAAATGAAAATTTTTCTTACCCCATCTCCTCCCCCTGCTTGGGGGCGCACAACTTTTACCTGAAGTAGAATTCCTTTAGTAAGAGTTAAGACATAAGAGCGGAAGGACGCCATTACCGAGTGTCGGATACCAACCGAAAACAGTACAATTTGACAGTTGATAGTCCGCTTTCACCTTCGCACCTTCTACACCATGCCAATTGTTGCTCACGCCAATTCACAGATTCACTATCGAAAATATCTGCAAATGGTAGCGTTTAAAGAGACTCGAAATCTGACCAATCAGGAATCGGTGCCCCTCATGCCCCATTTGACCTAGACTTGATCACGGTATATACAGTAGCGCCATTCTCCTGATTTTATGTTGGCTAAAATGGAGTGCGCATGCGTGAGATAAGTAAGTTGTCCTATCTCTTTTCCTTCTTTTTTTATGCTTTCTCTCTCTCTCTCTCTCTCTCTTTCTCTATTTAAGTAAGTTTCAATATTTTATTTAAACATTTGTCTTTCAAACATACATGGTTCAGAGTAGAAATTTAGAGGGAAGTATTACGTGTATTGTCCATTTGATGAAATGTTGTGTGAGAAATCTCGAAAGATTGATCTAATTTTTGTGAAAAAGTACATAAAACAAAAGTAACATAAAAAACTGAGCAAGAAAGATTTCTTTTTATTTATTGTATTTTAAACTTATTTTTTAGATATATATGTACATAAATTTCTTTTATATCAGCTTTCTCATAATATTTTCATAGATATATAATTACATAATATTTCTTTATACAAATATACATTTTTAAATTTAATATTTTTCCTAATTTTTCTATATTTTTTCTTTATTTTTCAATATTTACAATTTATTTTTATTAATTTTCATAAAGTTTATATTATTTCATTACAATATTAGGTTTATTCGCGTCGTATGCTCCAATATGTTCCTACAATAGGACTTACTCATTTGAATGAATTCGTTGAATTATGATAATAATTCTAGTAAGGAATAAATCTAGTAAGGAATTTTAACAGAGAGTGAAAAAAGGATGAAAAAAGAAAGAAATTTAGGTGATAATCATAGCAACGTCAGTTACGAGATAACTTATTTATTTCACGCATGCGCACTCTATTTTGGCCAACACTAACATCAAAAGTGCCGACAGAGAGTTGCGCTACTGTGTCTGAAGTGACTCTTCCATTTTTCCCTGTGCTTGGGGGCGCATGACTTATCTGAAGCGACTTCCACCTCACCTCTCTCCTGCTTATTAGGGGCTCATGACTTTCATCTGAAATGAAATTCTCATCCCATTTCCTCTCAAGCAGAAGGGGAGGTGAAGTAATTGGGATGGGGGGGGGGGAAGTCGTTTCGTGTGAAGAATTGTAAAATATATTTTAAAGCAGAAAATTTTTGTTTTATATGATGGAAAAGAGATATCATAGACGTTATTTCTTAAATTTCTTTTGTTTATAACTTTTTAACGAGTGACGTCCGATAATTAAAACTTTCTTAAGGTCACTCATGATCTTGACAACAAGGCCATTGAGCGGGAGGGCTTTCCTATATATTTACTTTTTTTTTAATATTTAATATTTTGCCAGAAGTTCAATTTACAGCGGAATCATAAAATATACATACATATATATATATATATATATATAAATATAAATA